TTGTGGGATCTGATAGAAAATGAAAGAGTGGGTTCCCTTGTTCAAAACAATTATGAAGAATTTCAAGATGATGACAACAGAGCATTAAACAAGCGTGGGGCCCTTCTGAGCACGGGGCCCTGCTGCACAGTTTGCACCCCCATGAAGTCCCTGTGTGTCATCGTGTAAAAGTGATAGCCTCGCTCTGTGAGGCAGTGCTGACGGCAGCAGCAAGAAGGTGAACAAGTTCAAGGCCTTGAAAGATGATGCCAGTGGGGACCGTGATCAGAATGAAGGAAAGAGTGCAGAGAAAGATGGTGAGAAGGAGACATCTGAATGGGACAAGAGTCAAAGCGGTAGCAAGAGGAAGGCTGTTGTCCCTGGACCAGAGAGCATCCCCTGCAGTACAACTACACTTTCTGGTACTCGGGAAAATCTGGGGCCATCCCACCCACTCAGAGAGCTTTGAAGAAGATCAAACAGATTAGTATCTTTGCCTACTTGGAGCAGTCCGCAGTTTTACAGCTCCCTGGAATCTGACAGGCTACAGTGATGTCTGTCTCTTCAAAGAAGGAATTAATCTTATCTGGGAAGATAATGCAAATAAAAATGGTGGCAAGTGAATTATTTTGCTGTGGAAGGGTTTGGCATCCTGTTGCTGGGAGAATCTCATCCTGGCTGTGCTGGGGAACAGTTCACGGTTGGGGAGGAGATCTGTGGGCCTGTGGTTTCAGGAGGTCATTGTTTCAATATAAAACAAGACTGGTAGCGAGCAATCTAGTAACCACAGCCTGAATCTGGACGTGTGTGTTTGTCCAAAATGAATGGAAGATCTCGAGCCAGTCCTTCCATCTGCTCCTGAAGGGACATCCCTGAGTCTCATGCCCCCCTCCCCTTTGCACTCATTCCTGGAAGCTGGCGTTGGCTAGACCCCCTCCAGCATGGTTGACTTTATAAAGCAGAAAAATGGAAACTGTGACTTCGTAATAGACCCACTTCATTTTTTAATGGAGTTCTGTAGAGGGGAGTTCAGCCTCCCCTCTGTTTTGCTCTGTGCCATCCAGGTGCCTCTCGGGCATTCTGTTGTGTTTTTGTCACGCTGTGCAAAAGACCTCGTGACCACATGAACGAGCCAGAGCTGTCACCTAAGAGCTGTTGGTACTGCTAATGTCTGTGCATCCAGGAAGAGCTTTCCGTCGGAGAGTCCTGGGATAGCTGTAAATGCTCTCTTCTAGCTCTGCTGTGAAATTATTGGGACATTATGTGAATTTCTGCCCGCTCTTCCCCCAAGCCCACCACTTTCTAAAAAACGTGGTACTGATTTTGTATTGTCTCTGCTTCTGCCCACCCTTCCTTCCCCCCGTGGCGGTCTTTCCTCGGAGGCACCGCTGCACACAGCAGCCCATCCAGTGGGCCACGCTGGCTTCACTGAGGCGACTTAGCAGGGTTGATGCCTAGGTCAGTTAAACAGATTAGGAGCTAGATTACTGTAATGTATGTTTATCTTTTTTAATGAAGTATAGTCAGTCACAACGTGTTGATTTCTGGTGTAGAGCATAATGTCCCAGTCATGCATATATACACGTATATTTGTTTTCATTATAACGTATGTTTCAAGTATAGGAGTTGGAGCTAAAGACAGTGACTGAAATCATTTTCCCAGATGAGCAGGGCCTGTATGTCAAGCCTGTTTCTGTGGATTCTTGTGTGCCCCTCTTTGAGAAACTTAAACTAAGGGGAAGAAACTGCAGAGGTAACGTAAGGGAGAACTTTGTAAGAAGCCAGCCAGAGGAGAAACTTTGGCACTTCTGTCCCCAGAGGTGGGCAGCCACTATGCTGGAAGGCAGAGAACTCTTCATTGCTAAGGGTGTTCAGAATCTGAAGAAATTATGCTAAATGACTGCTAACATTAATTTCCAGTTCTGAGACTGGATAATTACATCAAATGTTTTAAGAAAGGGGATTTTAAGAGTCCTCAAGCTTTTCTCAAAAATTTAATGTGATTTTTGAACAATATAGAACAACACACGTGCTCTTTCCCGCACTTACAGTTTTTGATGTATTTTCCCTATCGTAATTATTCCACTTACATACAGTTTTTCTGTTTATGCATTTTCATGATTACATAATATTCCACTGAATGTACATAGTATCGTTTATTATTCCCTAGTTACTGGGCAGTTCCATTCTTTCCGATGTTTGATTATTATAAAAAGCAATGCTCTAGATATTTTTGCATACACAGCTTCTCTTCCCTCTTGAAATACTTTATTAGAATAATTAGAGCTCATTAGGTTGCAGATTACACAGCTTGTCGGAAGAGCCTAGGCAAAAGAGGTTTGTTGATAAGTATGTAGAACAATCACAAAGATATAAAGTGCGAGACACACAGAGGAGGTGGAAAGACGTCCAGCACACTCCATCTTCCCTCCCCTCCCTAGTCTCGATTTCTTTAGATTGCCTTCTTCGCCTGCTCCTGGTTTGCTGTTGCTTATAACTCTGGCCCTCATGAGCCTTTGACTTGCCTTGGAGCCGGGGACCTCTTGTTTTTATCAAAAGAGTCCAGCACCAACCACTACGTGATCAGAATTTCAGTATCTCTCATACCAGATACCTGAGCAAGAGTCTGAAAAGCCAAGCTCCTTGGACTTTGTGACTTGAGCTCTCCTCTGATTGGTGGAGGGGGAGGGGATTGTTAGTAGGGCCAGGGCTCTGGAATCTGTCCAGATTCATGGCTACCACTTACTAGCCATGTCACCTTTGTTAGTTACTTAGCTTTCCTGTGTCACTCTTTCCTCATCTGTAAGATGAGGATAACACTGGCACGTACTACATGACATTATTGTGAGGATGATGTCAAATAACCCATGTCAAGGATTATAAGAAAGACACGTGAGTCCTCAGTACGTGTTAGCTCTTAGTTTTACAAAGCATTTTGTTTTGTGGAAAAACAGACATAGCACAAAATTTACCATTTTAACCATTTTTAACTATACAGTTCAATTCAGTGGCATTAAGTACATACACATCTTGTACAACCATTACCACTCTCCACCCCTGGAACTTTTTCATCATTCTAAACTGTAGCTCTTGTTTTTGAAGTATCATCATTATGCTTGTTTCAGCTATGACTGCCTGGGACTACCCTTTGGAAAGGTGTGAAGGGGACACTCCCCAAAGAACGGAACATAGTGGGGAGGCACTCTGAGTGTCTACTGAAAATATCACACTTGTACAGTTCTTTAAGCCTTACAGAGCACTTGTATGTATTTTTTAATGCAATCCTCCCAAGGAAGGACTTTTTTTTTTTTTTTGATTAGTGGAGAGTCTGGTTTTTTTTAAAGTGTATTTTTTTTGACCAATGGAGAGTCTGATTTTATTATATATGTGTATACATACATATATATATATATATATATATATATATTTTTTTAAAGAAGGACTTCTTGAAATAGAAAGGGCTTATAATCCTTATTTTACAAGAGACACAACTGAGGTTCAGGAAATCTGAGTTGCCCGATATCTCCCATCTTCTTACTTGCAATGTCAGGACTGAAGATCAGGTCTCCTCACTCCAAATTTGTGCCTTTTCCATGACATCTCAGAGATGGGATTACTCAGCCGAGCTTTATACCCATTTGTTTATAGTACCTATTACATATTCTATTTCAAGTTACGAGAAGGAAGGGAAAAATTTCAGATTGGAACTTGTGAGTGGCTTCTTTCTGGTAAGTGCAGGCCTACAAGAAGTCTGGTTTAGTTTACCAGTTTCCATCCTAACATAAAGGAAAAACAAGAATAATTTAACTTTATTGTAAAATGTGATGATTCTGTGAAAACCAAAGAGTGGAGGGATTGGTTAGTAGATGTCTTAACTTTTACCTTGAGAAAATTCTGAAGTATTTGCTGGAAACAAATGGCATTACTGAGTGAATCTTCTCAATGAGGTAGAGAAAGACACACCATTAGAATCGAAATGGGTGAGTGTCTGCTGGTGTCTTCTGGTTTTTACAGAGAAACATATTTTGTTTGATGGGCTTGATTGATTTTTTTCTAGTGAAAACCACCTTTGCCAAGTACAAAACCACAGGAAGAAAGCTTCTGTGGCTCCATAGTGCCTTTCTAACAACTAGATTACTGTTTGCTGTTAGTCTTTCCATTAAATTAATGGCCACTCTTTTGGGTTAGACACTTGCCTTCCATTTGGCACACAGCCTCGTTTCCTTGTCACTTGTTCTAAAGGAAAATCCCTCAGGATAACTGAACCTTAGTGTGATGAGCTTTTATTATGTCTGCTCTGATCATTCTTATATTAAACTTATGGATTCTCCTGTGCCCTTGCATATTAAGTAAGTCACTTATCTTCCCTTTGGCTTTCAGCCTTAATCCCACCCCATCTGTGTCACCCTGTTATCACCCTATCTATACTGCTCTGTTTTCCTCAATGATGCCAGTAATATTGCTTTCCTTGTAACTTTCAAATAATGTTATATTCAGCCAATGCCTATGTCTTTCCCCATGCCTTTCCTTTACCCACGTGGAATACCTTTCTTCTTTACCCACATGTTCCCGAACGTTTCAGTCCTTCACTGCCAACAAAAGCCAACTCATTCTCTAAGGCTTTCTTGACAATGTCAACCCAAATCAATTTCATCCTGCTGTGAGTTTATTGATCGAGCACCTATTAAGTGCCAGTCCCATTATTTCCTCATTACAATGACACAAGGTAATTACTGTCATCCTCATTTTACCAAAGAGGAAACCTTAGGTTTAGAAAGATTAAATAATTTGCCCAGAGTCACACACCCTATATTTCTAAGCTGAAGACAGAACTGCAGGGGTAACTGATTCTAAAGCTCTTAGTCCTTACTTCTGTACAGCACAGGGAACTATATTCGCTGTCTTGTAGTAACCTATAATGCAAAAGAATATGAAAACAAATATATTTATGTATATGTATAACTGACACATTGTGCATACACTAGAAATTGACACACTGTAACTGACTATACAGTGAAAAAAGGCCCAAAAAATACAATTAAAAGTAATTATTAAAAAATACTTTAAAAATAAAGCTCTTTCTCTTTCCACTCACGCTGTCTTAACTACATACCACCCGGCTAGATGTGTTTATGTGTGCTAGGCTTCTCTCCATTGGCCCTTAAAATCAGGGATGATATAATTTAAGAATTGCGTTCAACTACTGGTTGCAGAGATCCCGAGTTAGGATGGCTTCAGTACGATAGAAGCTGCATTTTCTCTCCTGTAAAAGGAGTCCAGAGAAAGCCGGCCTGGACAGGTAACGTGGACCCTAAGACAGCATCACAGCCTTGGCCTCCTTTGGCTCTTCCCTCTGCCATTCCCTAGAGTGTGAGCCTTATCCTGTGTTTACCAGGTGGCTTCTGGAAGTCCAGCCATCATATTTGTGTTCCAGGCAAGATGGAGGAAAGGATGAAGGGAAAAGGTAGGCCTCCCAGTCAAATTTTAAAGACCTTTTCCAGAAGCCTTACCGTATAATTTCTGTTTCTGTCTCATTGGTCACCACATCTGCAATGAAGTCTGGGAAATATTTTATAGCCGAGTACACTGATTCACCGAACAATGAAGGTAGTCTGTTTCAGATGAAGAAATGGATGGTGAAAAGCCAGCTAGTGGTCTCTGCCATGGAGACCCATGTCCTGATCTTCTTTCATATTTGCATTGCATCTAGAAGGTGCTCAGTGAACACTGATGGGCAGTCTAATGTAGAGAAAAAGAGAGCGGAAAAGGTAATTTAGAAAACTGATAAATGAGGAAACTGAAGAGACAGGAGCCACATGTCATTTCTAACTTTCAAGTATTTTATATATAACAAAAAAATACCTGCTGTCTTCTCCCTAAAAAATCCTGCTGTTATTTAGGTTTCCTATATGGAATGCTTAAAAAATTAACATCAAGATTAAGAAAATGAGGCCAAGTCATTTGGAATTATTTTGAGTAGATTCATTGTTGTTTCTTTCAGCCTTTACTCTTTGCATACATTTTATTTCCATTTACAAAATTGGAATCATAAAATGTTCTGTTTTGCCAAAGGACTCTTTGCAAACAACCACTTCTGACAAAGTGACCAGTGCTCAGGCATCTCTGATGAGCACTTAGAGGAAAAGCATAGGTTACATTTCCAATAGGAATTAGTGCTATGCATTTCTCTAGCCTTCCTGAGTTTCTTATTTTGATTTGCAGAATAATTCAAATCCTTTAAAGAAAAATCTGTGGTAATTACCTGAAGTGTTTCACCAGCCCCTAGATTCACATCTAGAGAGGGTCTTTGAGATTAAAACCACATTTTTGTAATTTTTAATTTTGATATAATTTCAGATTTAGAAGAAATTTGAAAAAGTAATACATGGAACACCTGTATACATTATACACAACATTACCAATTGTTGACAATCTGGTCTATTTGCTTTATCATTCTCTCTCGCTCTCCCCACCCCACCTCTCTTTTTCTATGGCATGTAGGTATGATTTTTTTTTCTTGAAACTTTTGAGAGTAAATTGGAAATGTCATATGTTAGGAGACCTCTAAACACTTCAGAATATTTGCTGAGGAAAGGATATTCTGTTATATTACCACAGCAAAGTGATCAAAATAAGACATTAAACATTGATACAGTACTGTTATCTAATACATGGTCCATAGGCACATTCCATTAATTGCCCCAATAGCATTCTTTATAGCTGTTTTATTTTCCCAGGCCAGCATTCAGTCTTAGATCATACATTGCGTTTCATTGTTGTGTTTCCTTAATCTGGAACAGTTCCACAGCCTTTCTTTCACTTTCTCTGACTTGACATATTTTAACGAGTACGGGACAGTTATTTGCTAGAACGTCCTTCAACTTGAGTTTGTGTGACTTGTCTCATGATTACATTCAGCTTATACCTTGTTGGCAGCAATTCCATAGAAATGCTGTTGGATTCTTCTCAGACCATCGTATGAGGAGCCACCTGATACTGGTTTGTCTTAATAATACCACTGACAATGACTTGGATTGCTGTTTAAAGTAGCATCTGCCAGATTTTTCCACTGTTAAGATACTGGTTTTCTTTCGTGAATAATAAATTATTTATAGGAGCTTTTTGAGAGTTGTATAAATATCTCTTCCTTACCCAGTATTCATCTACGAGTTTTAGCATCCACTGATGATTTTCAAATTCCATCATTCCTTCTTTTTTCATTAGTTGTCACCTTACTGTGAGAACAGGTTTCTCTCCTAAAGGAGAATTTCTCATGCTATATGGCTATGTTTCTTCTTTTTTCCCTTTAAGCCATTTTCTTTTTTTTCCCGTTTTTATTGAGATATAATTGACACACAGCATTGTATAAGTTGAAGGTATACAGCATGATCATCTGATTTACATACATCAGGAAATGATTACCACCATAAGGTTAGTGAACATTCATCATCTCATACAGGTGCAAATTAAAGAAATAGAAAACAAATTTTTTCCTTGTGATGAGAACTCTTAGGATTTACTCTCTTTAACAACTTTCATACATAATGTGCAGCAATGTTAATTATACTTATCATGTTGTACAGTACGTCCCTAGTACTTGTTTGTCTTGTAACTGGAATTTTGTACTTTTTGACTGCTTTGATCCAGTTCCCTCTCCCCCTACTCCCCACCTCTGATAATCACAAATCTGATCTCTTTCTAGGAGTTTTTGTCTGTTTGTTTTTGAAGTATAATCGACCTGTAACACTATGTTAGTTCCTGGAACACAGTATAGTGATTCAGTATTTCTATCCATTTCAAAATGACTGCCATGATAGGTCTAGTTTTCATCTGTCACCATGCAAAGATATTACATGATTATTGACTGTATCCCCACACTGTGCATTTCATACCTGTCACTCATTTATTTTGTAACTGGGAGTTTGTACTCTTAATCTCCCCACCAATTTCTCTCCTCCCCCAACCGTCTCCCCTCTGGCAACCACCTGTTTGTTCTGCGTATCTATGAATCTGTTTCTGTTTTGTTACATTTGTTCATTTGTTTTGTATTTTAGATTCCACATATAAGTGAAATCATACAGTGTTTGTCTTTTTCTGTCAGACTTATTTCACTTAACGTAATACCCTCAGGTCTGTGCATTGCAAATGGCAAGATTTCATTCTTTTTTATGGTTGAGTAGTATTCCACTACATATATGTACCACATCTTCTTTATACATTCGTCTGTTGGTGGGCACTTAGGTTGATTCCATATCTTAGCTATTGTTAATAATGCTGTAATGAACAGGGGTGTGTATCTCTTTTCAAATTAGTGTTTTTGTTTTCTTCAGATAAACACCCAAGAGTGGAACTGCTGGGTCGTCGGTAGTTCTACAGGCTGTGTGTTTCTTAGTTGTCTTGGTCTGCTGGGGCTGCTATAACAACATACCATAGACTGGGCCGCTTAAACAGCAAAAATTTATTTCTCACGGTTCTGGAACCTAAGTCCAGGTGCCAGCCAGTTCAGTTGCTGGTGAGAGCTCTTTTCTTGGCTTACAGACAGCCACCAACTTGCACTGATGGAGAAGGTGCACTGATGTCTCCTCTTTTTGTAAGGGCACTAATCCCATCATGAGATTTTCACCCTCATGACTTCATCTAAAACTAATCTTCCAAAGGCCCTAACTCCTAATGCCATTCATTAGATTGGGGGTTAGGGCTTTAACACATGAATTTGGGGGGAAACATTCAGTCCATAACTGACTTTATAAAGAAAAAAAAAAAGAAGATGGTACCTCCCTTGGGTTGGGTAGCTGATAGTGAATGTTGAAACCCTTGCATAGTAAAAGTGATTCCTTACTCCATCCTCTGCAATACGACTCTTCAATTTAATTTTGTTTATTTAATGGAGGTACTGGGGATTGAACCCAGGACCTCCTACATGCTAAGCATGCACTTTATCACTGAGTTATGCCCTCCCCCCTTTAGTTTTATTCTTATTTATACTATCAAATGCTAAGAGTATTTGGTCACTCAGCTCTTATTTCGTACTAAAATCTGTTTCTTGTTTATCACTAACAGACAACTCTGGATTTTAATTCTGTACTTTCAGTTGTATGTGTAACTTTGGGTATCTTCTTTGGACTTCAGTCTTCTTTGCCTGTAAAATACGGGATGACAAGGTCTATATCAAAAGTGTTGCTGAGAGTGGGAGGAGTAAATGAGATAATGTATGTGAAAGCATGTGACCATTGTGGGTGATGCAAGAAAGCAGTTAATAAATACGTTTCCTGTCTTTAAAATTCCAATTTTTGGTAACACAGTTTTGCAAGTTTCTCCACTTGCAAGAGGTTAGAAGCTTAACTTCCATAGAGAAGTTAGATGATCTTAGATACGAAGTCTGCATCTGAAAGAGGAAGGTTTAGTGGTATCTACCAACTTTTAGATGATTCACGTGGTTCTATCAGTTTTATTCCTTCCTTTTTTCCTATCTTTCTTCTTCCTTTCCTTTTATTGACATATTTAATGGCATTTGCTATGCGCAGTCACGATTGTAGGCACTGGGGATAGAGCAGCAAACAAAATTTCCTAGCCTGACATCAGTTATAATTTAATCAAAGGAGATGGGTGATAAATATAGAAACAAACTTTTTCAATCATGCATGGTATGTGCTATGGAGGAAAAAAAAAGCCAGGAAGTGGAATAAGGATTGTTGTGAGGGGGTTGCCATTTTATTAGATGGTCAGAGAAGAGCTCACTGATAAGGGGGCACGTGAGCAAAGACCTGAAGGAGGTGAGGGAGCTGGTCATTAGAGTGACTGAGGCCAAAGCATTGCAGGCAGAGGAAATCTTTCAAAGAGAAGAGACCTAAGGTAGACAATGACCCACTGAGAGTTCAGCCAAGGGAATCATGAAAGAAGCCAAGCACAACAACACGCCATCTCTCTGCCGTGAGTATGAGTATGCGCAAGGGCAGAATGACCAGCGGGAGGTCAGAGGTTGCAGCAGCTGATTGGGGTGCAACTCAGACCTCTCTTCAAGAAACAGCTTGCTTCGAGGAGCGCAGACAGCTGACAGCGTCCAGCTGTAGCACCTCCTGGAGCCAGCCCAGCATCCGAGGTCGGGATGTTCTCCCGCGCAGCCTCAGCCAGTGACTGAGCGTGGCGGGGATACCAGGGCGTGACCTCTGCCATGCAGTGTGGGACTCCCTGAAGGGCAGTCCTTGTGCCTGGGCACCCTGCTAGGCTGCCTGTGACATCCAGAGCTACACCACGGTCTGAGGCTCTACCTGCCAAATCACCCTTCCATCCCTTCTCCTTTCACAAGTATCAGACCTGCATCATGGTGGAAAGACTTTCCCTGCTCACTCCTACTCCCTCTTCCTTTTAACTTCCACAGGTTTTACCCCTCCTCCAATAAATTGCCTGTACTTCTAACCCCATCCTTGTGCCTGTCTGCTTTCTAGAAAACCCAGGCTACCAGGGTGGAGCAGAAATGCCCATGACGACATTTTGCTCTGCCTCTACTACCTACACAAGTCAGGCACAGAGTCGTGGAGATAGAAAGGGGGCCGTCCACGGTGGTGTCAAGGGGTGAGCACTATCCAGACAGTCATCATCAGCCCTACACAGAGTCATCTCCAATAGTATACTGTCTCAGTGAAACCCACTTACTACAATGCAAACAGTTTCAAAAACAATTCCTCTAGGTACTCGTTTCAGGCAGAGTGCTGTCCTTAAGTGTTTCTTATATAGAAATTCTGGGGCTACCAACAGAGCAGCTCCAAACTCTTAACGAGTTTCTGAAAAGTGAGGCTCCCACTGCTTAGTTACCAAACTAGAATCCAAAGGGGCAGCGTGCATTGAGAGAGGGGGAAGGTGGCACTCATTTCCATTGCTGGAAGTCAAACCAGGGGAATCTGACGTTTTCCAGGCCTCCAGCTAAGATGATCATCTCTGTCTTCCACCCCAGGCTGTCTTCAGAGGCTGCTATTTGGGTCTCGCTCACCATGCTCTAATGATATTCCGACCAGAAACCATTCTCAGCGTTGAGTGAATCACGCTCTAATCACAGAGCGGAGATTGCATTTAGGGCTCAATAAAATGATGGATTCTAAGATTTTCTGGGAAAATCTCTAAAATCCCATCAGGAAAGCAAACACTGATTGGGAAGGAAGTGACTCGGGTGGGGTCACATGGAGGGCAGGTAGAAGAAGTTACAACCCAGGATTTCAGAGTATCCTTTCTGTGCCAGGCACTTGCATGTGTTTACATATCCAGAGCCACCTTGTGATGCTGGAATCATGCTTTCAGCTTAGAAAAATGTGATGTGGAAGGTTAAGTGGTTTTTTCCCAAGGTCGTAGTGCTAGCAAAAATCAAAGCTAGAATTTCAAACCAGATCTTCTAACTCCAATGTTGTGATTGTTTTTTTTGCGATTTTACCATTGGATAATTATTCTCTTACTTTTATAAATATGCCCGTATTAATTAATTAAAAAATAATATTTTAACCTGTAGCCATACCTCCTGGCTTTGTTGCTTTGCTAAAATCCTATCAACTCTCGGTCAGACCATGGTTGGGAGATGCTGTAATGGACATTTGCTAGTTTTTGACATCTCAACATTCATTTTCCTCCTCTTGGTAAACATATTCTAATTCCTCCCTGGCAAACTCTCCTCCCCCACTTGCAGTCCATGAGCTTTGGATGGGCTCCAACTCTGAATGGGCCTGTGACTCCTAAAACAATCAAGGTACCCATCCCCCTGGCCACTCCAACTGGGATTATCTGTAATCAATCAGTCTTTTGCCAGAGCTGCTGGGAGAAAAGCAAGTGCTTGTTCCCAGTTCACCTGAACCTGGGAGAACGTAGACTGGAGCTGCTGGCACTGCACTGCTGCTGTCATTGAAGAGTGTGTCCAAGAATGGTGCTTACACAGCAGAAGCAGAGCCAGGAGATGAAGAGGGAGAAATGGGGTCC